AAGATTATTTCTCTTGAGAGGTAGCACTGCACAGTGGTCATCAGCACAGGTTCTGGAGTTTTTGCCTGAGTGAAATCAGCTCCACCATGTATCTATCAGCTGGGTAACCTTGGCAAACCACTTAATCTCCCTGGGCCTCAGTTGCTTCCACCTGTGAAACATCAAGGATTCTACTTCATGAGCAGCTGTCACAATAAATGACAAACACATAAGTACTATGAGTTTACTATTATCTAACTCTCAAAAACTAAGTGAACTATCTCAACTAATAAGACACAGGACTTTTAGCTGGGAGTGGTGGTGCAGGCCTTTAATCCAATTCCAGCGCTTGGGAGGCAGAGACAGGTGGATCTCTGTGACTCCAAGTCTAGCCAGTCTGGTCTACATAGTGAGTTCCAGGCCAGTTGGGACTACCTACAAGGAGACTTGTCTCAAAAAGACCAAAAAAAAAAAAAAAAAAAAAAAACAGGACTTTCTTTGGGAAATTTCCATAAAGATTCAGAAAATCTGGGCTCAGATCACAGGCTAGCCACATGACCATCATCATCCTGCTTTCTCTTAACTAGCAGGGTCAATGACAGCCAAAGGATTTTCGGGCAGTTAGGATTTACCTCAAAAAGGTGTGGGCAATCACAAACGTATCAATAGTATATTGCAAACTTGATTTCAAATTAAAATGGTGTCCTCAAAATCCTAAGCTAAAACTCTTGCTGTAACTGTCCTCATTCCCCAAAACCAATGATCCCAGTCCTCCCCCTTCCCAACTAGACACCTACAATAGCAAGAAATGACCTCATTTCCTGCCCATCCTTTCTAAGCACAGATCTGTGCTTATGTATCCTGGCTTAAGGACCATTGCCTCAATTTTATCTTCCAAGTAAGGTCCCTATCTACCCAAAACATTGGTCATGTGGCCAACCCTCCCAGAATCTCTAGACAAGCTCCATACGCATGTCTTCCAACCAAAGCTGAACATGCACTTTTCATAAATACCTTTTACATATGTTCCTGTCTCCCACCTCCACATCCGACCAGACTGGTCCAAGCCCTCAATAGATAGAACAGATATGCGCCTTCAACATCCTTCTTCAAGGTTCCATCAGCACCAATCTACCCCGTAGGTTACCTATACGGGAGTAGTCACTTACTCTCATCTGAATTTTAACTGCACTCAAGCAAGTCTTGATTCAAATTAAGGACATTTTAGCATGTATTCCTTTACAACTATACTGCACTTGAATTGGCACTTTCCTTATGTTCTTAGGCCAAACGTTTGTGTAGAAAAAGTTTGAGACTAATAACTATTTCAAGTCACTCTGCTGTGGCAGGTGCAAAGCTAAATTTCCAATTTCCTGCCATCTGTTCATCAGTCATGGATTCATCGATATCATGGGTGAAGAGACAGGGATTTGCTCTCGGCTGTTCCTTTCCTTCCGGGAAAACGCTTCAGGTGTGGACACAACCTACCCAGCATCCCCTCCATGCCCTGCATCCTGCCATCCGTCCCACCTCTAGGAGAACCATACTCTCCAGCGGGCAGATCCACAGCGCTTCGGCTAGATCCCCGGGTGGACGCAGAGGGGCGCCCTGTCCGGCACCGCGACGTCACACCTCGCCGGGGGTGGCGGGGTCTCCGACCCTCCCACCCGGCCTCTCCCACACCAAGCCGGCGTCCCGTCCCTGCCCCACCCCCTCTCCCTATCCCTCCCGGTCCACCCTCCCGGTGCCCCAGTTCCGCCCGTCCCCCGGCTCTGCCGTGTCCTCTCTCGCGTCCTCCCCGTCCTCCGTCCCCGCCCCTCCCCCTCCCCCGGGGCGGCCCCGCTCCCACGTGACCAGCGGGCGGGCCGGCGCGTCGGGGCCCGAGCAGCGCACTGGAACGTCCCGGATTCCCGAGGCACCGCGATAGCGACGGCACAGCGGGCCACGGTGGGGACGGCGCGCGGGCCGGGGTGGGGACGTCGGGGCGGGCCGAGGAGTGGACGGCGCAGGGGCCGCGGGGGATGGGCCGGGGCAGCACGGGCCGGGCCGGTCGTACCTACCGCGGGGCGCGAGAAGCGCCGCGTCCCGCCGCCGTCGCAACACTGCCGCGTCCTCCGCCTACGCGGCGGGACCCCCGCCCGCACCCGCCCCGCGCCCGTCCCTCCTCCCGCGCTCCAGAAAGAGAAGATGGCGCTCAGCTGCCTCAGGAAGTGACGTTGCCTTATTTGCATGCCGAAGCGGCCAGCCAATGGGCGCAGACTGTGCCTGGGGACCCCTGGGCGCTTCCCACGGGCCCCTTCGGGCCCCTGGACCCCGCGGGCCTCGAGGCTCTGGAGGGGGTGGGGCCTGCCGTAGCCCCCTCCCCTGCACCCTCCAGTCTCTGTGGACGGCAGCCCAGCCTCTCCACCACCTCTGGGCAAGCTCTCGAGAGAGGTTGAGTTAGTGATGACGTCATCAAGGGGTGGGGAGAGTGCGTCATCAACCACGTGACCAATCACATGAGCTCACTAGACCTCTGACTTGGTTTGCATGGAATGGGGGTGGAGGTAGTGGCAGCCTAGTGGGTGGCCCCGCCCATTCCTACAAGCCAATAGGAAGCCAGCCCTGAGGATACTATCTTGCCATTGGAGAATAGGACATCAACTCCAGGAACTTGGACCAGTGTGCCTTTGATTGACATATCTTGGTGAGCCAAAAGGATAGGCTTTCCAGACCCATCATTCTTTTTAAGCAAATTTATGTCACACCATTTAAGAATTTTCATTTTGAAGTTACATTTACAACACATTGTATAAAAAGAGGGTTAATTGCATGTATTTACAATCATAGAATATTTCTCTAGGTTGTACATGGAGTAGGAGCTCTCAAAGTGTTTCAGAGTCTCCATCCACTAAGAGGCCAAGTCCCTCCTACAGAAAGCCCTTCCCCTGTAGATGTAGTGAGAGGCTAAGGAGGAAGTTTTGGAAGAAGCAAACTGAAACACCTCCTAAAATGTTTTACAGTCCTTTTAACAGGCCTTTATCCTATCCCCACTCCTTAAGAATTCCAGAGATTTCTCAGTCTGACAACTGTCCTGATCCACTCTCCTGTCCACATAAGGCCATGTCTCTTTCCAGAAAAACCAAACTAAGGCTTGGGTTCCCATCAACAGCCATCTCCTCCTGTCTAGGTTCTACTTGAGCTGATGACTTGTTCCATGTTTGCTCTCCTCTTTTTGAAACCTCCTTGTGTGTCTCCCTCGGTTACACCTTTTTCTACTGCTGCCTTCACTTTGGCCCAATGACTAAAAACAGTAGGCATTCAATAACTATCCACATCAGTTTTTAATGTGTCCAATATTGAGCTGATGAAATTGGACCGCAGTTTGCTTTAATTTCCTACAAGAAGACAAGTCTATTTGTTCATAAATTATAGTTTCAGTTGGTTGTGAAGTTACAACAGTAAACGGTCATGATGTTCCTATACATCTTCCTTGAGGAATTGTGGGTGGGATGGAAAGTTAGCTACAGCCTTCCAGTCTTCCCTCATGCAGACAGTTCCTCTCAAACGTCTGGCCTCATTTCTTCAAACAACAGTCTGTGTGCCTCTTTTTGCCTTCTCTTGACTCCTCAACTTCATGTCTTGCCTCCTCAACATCGTCACTCTGCAGAAACTTTTTGGCCACCAGTGACTTCCCAGTTGTTGAATCCAAAGATAGACTTTAGTCCACATCTTTCTGGACCTGTCTTACCTCTCTAATCACTATAGAGATCCCCCTTGATAAAGCCCTGAGCATGCCCCAAACTTGCTCTTCGGTCTTGTCCAGTCCCTTTGTTCCCACAACTTTCCTCAGCAGTGAATGCCAGTGTTCAGAGATTCAGCCTGCTTTTCTTCCTCGTTCAATACATGTTCACTGCCCATATCCTGTGCCAGTCACAGTACTACATATTGGAAATCCATGCCTTTTATTTTTATTTGGCATATTGTCTCCCTGTTAATCTCAACTACAAACCTCATTATTTCAATTTCCAGTCATTATCTTACCAGTTGTAGTGGGGCAGGCTTGTAATCCTAATACCCAGAGGCTGAGGTAGAGAATTACAAGTTCAGACCAACCTTGTCTCAAAAACAAAAAACTTTACCTTCTAGGTTCTTAATTCCTTTTTTTTTTTTTTTTTTTTTTTTTTTTTTTTTTTTTGGGTTTCCCTGTAGCCCCAGCTGTCCTGGAGCTCACTATGTAGACCAGGCCTTGGACACTTTAAATTGAAGATACTCCAGTGGAACCCATGATTCCTTCCCTCCTCAAAGCCCCTCACCACAAGTAGTGTGTTTCTCTATCCTTCACTTTTCCTATAGTCGGTTCTCCAGTTCATATCCTAAATGTTCCTCACATCTGTTCCCTCACCTGCAGCCCTACCATTGCTGTATGTGGTAAACTGAGCCCATTTTGTACACTGATACTGGCTCCTGACTAGCCTCCAGCTTGTCCTCAGGCTACTCCCAACTCAGCCATTTTTGACATGTATGAAAAAGCAGACATAACTGATTAGCTTATGCTATGCTCCTCTTGACCGATCTTCAAAGAAAGGAGAGGAAGAGCAGAAACCATCAGGCAGCAGGAGAAAGGCCACGGTCACCTTCTGAAATTAAGAGGCACAACTGTGGCCAATGTGCTCTGGTTACACCCCAGTACAAGGGAGTGGAAACTTTTTTTGCGTATAGAAAGAAAACTGCCTCAAGAGATCCTTGGGTAAAAATTGGGAGTGAATGTCCCTTTTAACCTTCTTGTTCTCTGTAGTGTCTGGGAAGAAAGAGATCTGACCTAAAAACCCGACGGTCATACCAACTTTTTCTTGCTTAGTAAAACACCAGGCTTCTCTCTTACTACCAGCATGTTGGGGCTCAGGTTTTATATCAATTCTGGGGAGACACATTTTATAGCGCTGGTTCATAGATAATTGGCATATCTTTGAGGAAGAGCACCTTGCATCTAATTTTCCTAATTCTAGCTTAGGGACATCTTTGGTTCTTTCTCGCTTTCCAGAATTTGCAGGTGGTCAAGGCCCTGTGGCTTTTGATAAGAAGTAAAGTTCTCTTGTAACAAAGTCTATAACTTGAGTGCTTTGATCACTTGATAAGAAAGTTAGAATGCTCCAAGTAGGAAACAAAGTATCAAACAGCCTTTTACAAGTTTAACGGCTATGACTTGGGGGAAAGAAAATGCTTCAACCAGTCCTGAAAATAGACATTTAATAAAAGATTTTCAACTCCATGGAGGAAGGAAGCTAAAGTCTACCTGGAGGCATTCAAAACAGTCTTAGGTTGGTCCTACTGTGTTCTACCTTTATAGACTTTTCTATGATTATGTTGTGGCACTAAAGATAATCTCAGCTGTGTTTTTAAAGTTTTCCCACCAATACTGACTTAATATATAACCAATTTTTCTTTTTCTGTGGCAAATACTTTCATTGTGATTTACATGGTAAGTATTTGACACCCCTTGGTACCACCAAGTGTCCTTCTAGAAGTGTCAGAGATTGACTGGGTGGGAGACAGACAGACTCCTCCCATCATCCCACTCAAAGCCAGGGTTAAAGGTAGATGTCTATACTGGCCTCTGGGAATCGGTAAGGAGATTTATTCTTTAGGAGCTTAGTTGAGATTATAATCTTTGTAAAACTAGTTGCCATATGACCTTCTAGACAGCATCTCTTTCAACTTGCATGGTGTTTCTTTGCACAGGTCCCAGCCTTTGTGACAGTGAGTACAGCTAAATCTTCTCAGCTTGTCCACTAAGGAGGGGAAACAAGGAGAAGTGAGAAACTTTCTTTGCTTCCAGAGTATCTCAAAATTATGATCTGACAATATAGAAGGGCAGAAAAAGTGTATTTTCCCCTATTTTCTCATTCAATAATCTATTCAGATGTCCTTGACATCTTGTCACCAAGAAAGTGAAGTAACAACCAAACAATTCTTCACTGGGTACCACCTGGGTGTCCTTTAATCCAGTTCAATTCTGACATTGTCTGCTTGGATGGAGATCATCCAGTCTCACAGATTGGAGGTGCAGTTCCCTAAACTGTTCTCTAATTAAAATACCTTGTCAATCATTTGACTTCCATTTCAGAGGGTCCAGCTTCCAATCACTGTTCCCCCATCGCCATCCTTGAGTTGGATTGATTTGGAATAGTGGCTTTAAGAACTTGGAAACATAGTTACTGGTTTGGTTACAGGTTATTACAGAGGATAATGATAAACTCCAGATAGAAGTGATGCCCAGAACAAACAATATGGAAAGGCTGGAGCCCTGTGCCTTCAGGAAAAACAAAGTTCCAGGAACCTCCATATGTTCAGACATGAAGAGTTCCCACAACCCAATCCTTAATAATGCCTCCTTTTTATGAAGGCATTATTATGTTATGTAAGTGTGATCGATGAGATCAGTGGCCACTGGTGATCATCTCAACCTTCAGACCTCACTCCCTGGAGACTGGGGAATGGGGCTGAAAGTCCCAACTCTAATACTGCCTTGGTCCTTATAGGAACCAGTCCCCACCCCAAAGCTACCAGGGGACTGCCAACTGAGTCACCTTATTAGCACAACAAAGAATCGCTTAGTATTTTGGAGATTTCATGGATTTTAGGAGTTGTGTGCCTGAAAATATCTCTGGTGATATCATATAGTACCCACTTGCCAACTGAATTTATTTACTGTCTTCTCTGACTAATAGAGCAGCTCAGGTGAGTACACTGTGGGGAATTTTACCTCTTGCAGAGATGCATCCTAACAACTTTAAATGAAGCATATCCTACCTGGTGACTTACAAGTTCAGACTGAGATGTGACTCACCAATAAGTAACCTTACAGCAGCATTCTCATTCAGTCTTTATAACTAAGAGATAGAAAGTTCCCTGAGGTGGTAGTCAAGACATTTCTTTCTTTGATGGAGGAAGCAGTGAAAGATGCTAGGTGTGACTGTGGTAAGCAGAATGTGAAAGAGGGCCACAGGCTTTCAAAGGTGAATTGGCTGTTCCACTCAGCAGCAGCATCTAGGCTGCATGAGGAACCATGAAGTTAAAAGGGAGACAGGACTGACTCAACATCAGCTGTTGTCTTAAGACATGGTTGAGGCCTCATACTTGCATCTCACCCTTGAATGTGCCTCATATTATTCTATAATTAATTCTGCCTGTCTTCTACACTGTACTCTGTTTCATCTGAATTCATTCAAGGACTATCACAGATTAGCATCAGTAGGAACAGAGATGTGTTTTCCAGATAAGGGCCCAACCATTACACCACAAACTATAAGACAGAGAAACTCTGTGGGCCACTTGTAATACCTAGTACCTCTGTGGTATGTTCACTGGGGGAATAGTTGGGCATGGTGGCAATGTTTAATATACAAAGAAAGAGCTGTGACTACTAGGAATTGA